AAAATAAGCATATTTAATGGCAAGGATTATAGTAGTATCTTATGTGAGGAAGACCTGTTAACAAAAGTATGGTTAAAACAGTCATAATTTTTATAATTTTTTAGTGTGTATATAAGTATACACACACAAATTCATATTTATCTGACATACAGTTAAAATATGGGAGGGTCATAAATCAAAATGAATGACTGTGGACATCTGGATTTTACACAGAATATGTAATATTACTCAGAAACTTCATCTTTATCTGCTCTAGAGTTACCAACCATATCTTTCGTTATGGTCACCATCTCTGTAGTTATCTAAGAGATTATTTCTGATTAGATTTTTTTTCTAGAGCCTCATTCATCTGACTTGTTACTTCCAGTGTTACCACTTCAGAGAGTCCAAATGGGTGGCTTCCAAATTTGTTCCACCTCATTGCCCTTGCCTTTGGTGAGCTGGAAGTCTGAAGTTGGATCTTGCTTGTGTCTTTTCCTTTTCTATATATATGTTTTAGTTTAATTCCTGGGTTGATGCCTGTAAATTGCTTATGGCAAGTAGCTTTATTGCTAGTATTTAGGATACTTAAGAAGTAGTCACTTCTCAGAGATGTCTTCCAGATGTAGCTGGCTTTGGGTTTTGAGTCTGTTGCAAGACAGTACCTCTCCAGTTTATTGGGGATTAGAAATTGCTGTCTATTTAACCTAATTCCTGGTTCTTTGGCACTAGTCTGTAGTATTATTTATGACCCTTAGGCATTCTCAGTCTTGGCATATCAGGAAGAACTGCTTAGAACAATTATATCATATCTTGGCTAAAGCAGTACAATTAACAATAACAAGGACTGGGGGATTTAGCTCAGTGGTTCCACTGCCTGCCTTGCAAGCACAAAGATCCGAGTTCCATCCCCAGTACCAAAAAAAAAAAAAAAGAGTATAAACAATAACAATAGCGACAAACAGCCTAGAAAATGACAAAGTGTGATAAATGTTAATTTGCCACCTTTGATGGTATGGACATTAAAATATTAATTTGACACTTTTAAGGGTATAATTGTGGTTATATAACAAAATTTGAAACAAACCAGAAAATTGTAACTATCGTGATTTTACCCTTAGGGGAGAAAAATTTAAAAGTATTTGGGGGAAAAATACAGAAATAGAAAAAGAAGAGATTAGAAGCATGGCAGGAGAACAAAGGAAGATTACATGAACTTTGGGAAACTGGTGAAAAGTTAGGAGGGAAAGATAAGGAAAACATAAGAACAGAACAACAACAGGAAAACTAGAAAAAATGTTCACACATATAAAAACAAGAACTATCAAATCAAGAGAAAAGGAAAAAAAAAAGAAAAGAAAAAAATGATCCACTTTAGGACGTGTCTGTGATGTCATTGGTAGACAGAGTAAGCATACAGAGCCCAGATCTGTGTTGATTAATCCCAGCAAATCAGCCATAGCTTTATGGTGGGGTAATGGATAACCACAGCAAATCTATACCTTTAGTTCCACTGAAGTTCAGGCTGGTTTTTGGCTGAGGCTGGAACCCATTTTGTTCAGCCTTCAATACTCTGTGTGCCTCCCGCTGGCTTCAGCTCTGGGCTCCCTGTTGGCTTGAACTCAGCTTCTTGACCTCCTGCTTACTTGAACGTGATTCTGCCCCACCTTGACACTGAAGGCTCTAGATGAAGCCAGCCTACAGCTGCTCTGGGTTCTGAGCTCAATTGGCCCTTCTTCAAGATGGCTACAAGCCTATTAATCACCCTCTCCTGGGAGGACATCTGAGCCTGAATAACTCACTAGCCACTGCAGTCTGCTGCATCCACTGCTCCCTTTCACTGATGCATTTCTCCATGTAGGACTGGGAGGTTTCCAGTAGTCACCATGGTTCTGCAGGTTCAAGCTGCCCCTCCTATGCACTGAGTCTCAGCTTGGGGAGAAAGCACTGCTTGGAACCTCCTTCTGTGTTGAGATCTCTCTCTTTGTTCTCCCCATGGACTTCCATTCTTGTTTCAGATCTTTGCTGGGTCCTGGGGACTCACTTTCCTCCTCCTCCTTCTCACACTGCTATATATTGGTGTATGAACACTACATCTCGGAGAAGCTGTTTTTCTGCTGTTCACCACTCTACCATCTGTTGTATCCCAGGAGCCAGGATCAAAGTCAACCCCTGGACACCATCAAGGACACAGAGGGACCCCTAGCAACCCAGCTCGTCTGCCTGCTGTTACTTCCTCACCACCAGAAACTTTTCATTAAATATTGTTTCATTAGATTAACACCTTCATAGAGAGTGCTATCCTCTATAGAGAAGATTGGGTTATTTATATTTAACACGTTCAGGGAAGGCTTTAAAGCTGCTTTATATGATGCAAATGGCATTTGAGTAAAAGATGCATGCACAGTGAGATAGAGATGCTTCCAGCAACAATGGCAGTTAAACCTTAGTTGCAGGGAAAATAATGGAAATGACCAAAAATCTTTTAATCCTTTGCTGTTTTCTATAGCCCATAATTCTTTTGTCTTTCAACATAAAAACAACATTGTTTTTTATGTAAGGAAAACTTCAATTTGATTTTTCAAGAAAGGAATATTATCTGAAGCCATGGAATTTGGTCAAAACATTTGACCTCCTGTGGCTTCAATTTTCTATTAAAAATTAATATGTTTCATCTTTTAGAGTTGTTTGTCATGTAATGTGATATCATCTAAATGCTTAAGCTGGGATATTAGCATATGTCACTTGCAGAACTGATTTCTGGTACTGGTAGGAAGACAGCTTTCCATGGAGATTTAAGGGATTAGGCTCTAAAACTGAATCTGGATTTTGATTCTCAGCTCTACCACTTACCTAGCTGTTTAATTGTGTGTTCTCCTTAACTTCTCTTAATTTCCTCATCTTTAAAATAAAGATAGTAGTATGGTGGGGTGAGGTTGGTAGCAATGAGTTCTTTAGACCTGTAGATTTGAGATCCTATGACCCTGTGTTGCCCTTCCTCCCTGTCCAGTCCTTCCTTCTGGTACCCTTTCTCAGCATTAACACACTGGAAGAAAATGAAAAATACAAAGTGGGGTCAACATCTTGGTGGTACCAAAACTTCTGTCCTGCTCTTTATGATGTAGCAATTGTTCAGAAGTCTTCTGTAAGGTCAGCACATACAGGAATGGATTTTGGGCTCTCAGACTTCCTAGCAAAGCCACTTAGTTTTCTGCACATATTGGACCCAGGTGTGATTTTTGTTGGTATAACATAAGTTGTCTTTTATTTTTAGTTTCAGCCAGATTTACTTCCATTGTAAGCAGAATCTCATATCTAAACCTCTTGGTCACAGAGAACTGTGAGGCGGTGCCCATAGTTTGTAGCTGAATGGACTTCTGTGCAGTTTAAAGATGCCTTTCAACTCTTAATTGTCACCTTAACTGTTTATCTTCCAGATGTCTCTTGAGTCTTCCCATTCTGGGTACCTAACATAACATTTTGTTTTATTTACAGTTAGTTTCCACTTCATTAGTTATTCCAAATACATTATTTCCATCATATCTTTAGGAATCTAGGGATTGACACTCTGTGTGCCATTAATTGGTTATAGCATAAGTTTATTTTGCTGTATGATGAAGTAGGGACTGTTTATTGCATATCAATTCCTAACATTTAATTAAGTAGTTTTCAAAGTTCTGGCCTTTATTTTGCTGTTTTTTTCCTACAAGCTTGTTGTCAGACCCTATCAGAGCCTGTAATGTGCAGGTTAAATGGAGGCAAGCCAAGCATAATAGGTAGGAACATTTTATATATAAAGTTGTCTTTTTCAGGGTATTTCCCCAAATTAAGAGGAAATTGGAAAAAAAAAAAACAGACTATAATGAGTTTATAAATGTATCCAATCATTTCTTACTACTTTTGACTTTTTGAAATAGTTCTATAATTTTGTCTGAGTTTTCCTTAGTAAACGTGTGGTATTTTTTTGTTCACCTATTCATGTAATTTGGTATGGATGGTGAGGATTAGAAGCCAAATCTGCAGTGGTATCCAGAAGATGCAATACTGTGACCATGAGTGAACAAATATAGTGTCATTTTTATTTCACACTTTAAAAATTCTCTGTGATGTACCTTAGAGGGTTCATTCATAAGTAGAGAAATTTTAATTATTTCACAGAACTTTGGCATACTATAAAAGTCAAATTAAAGTACCCACTCTTTAGTTAGGATTTAATAGCAAAGTATATTAAAAATAATCCTTTTCAAGATATGATCATGTCAACCACAGGGGGCAGTACTGATTGATTTTTAAGAGGAAAAGAAGATTCTGTTCCATTTCTAAATGTTAACAGTTGCAAGAGGAAAATTCACATTTGAGAAGAATGTTTTCCAGGTTGCTTCATTGCCAAGCGCTTGACACTGTGTGTAGCCTTAGATGAATAATGCTTGCAGCAGTCCTAGGGAATGATGCACTCCAAGGACCTCTGCTTCCTTCTGGGAAGCTTCTATTTTCAAAGTACTCCAGTGTCAGTGGGAATATTCCAGTGGTTTCTGTGCTACTTCTAGGAAAGAACAAAGTTTCCCCCCCGAACCTGTGGTAGCTGCTGAGGAAGATACCTGTCTGCTAACAAAATAAATTGCAGGATGTTGTCCATGAATGAGCTGTGTGTTCTCTACTACTTATGAGACTGAACTCTATCATTTTTTTTATGGAAATAGACCTTATTTTATTGTAGTCCCTTTTAGCACCATTGCATACTACAGATGTGGTTTACACTTATTTCAGAGTGTCAAAAAGATCCCAATAATGTGATACCTGCCTTGAGAACATTCACATTTTCCCCTTTCCCTTTTTCTCTCCCCTTGACCTAGCAGCAGGAAGCCTTTGTTTGAGGTGTTCATCTGGAACAACTTTTCCACACTTGTTTTCGTGTTCTGTTAGATTACAGGGCAGCAGGCCTACCTTTGAAGCTGCTTTCTCTTTTGTTTCTTTGCCGTGCACTTCAGTAATTAACTTTGTCCTTCTTTTATTTGTTCCAGTCAATCGCAGGCCACTCTGCTGAGTATCTTCTCCCAGGAGTACCAGGTTAGAAGTTTCCTCCTTTGTGAGGCCTGACAGGTGCCTAATTGAATGATGAATGTCCCTTTATTTCTTTGTAATTGAACTGCCAGCTTTCTGATTGGGTTGGAGGATGTTCTCCTTTCCACATCAAGCACCGCCTGCGTCTCAGTGGAGGCCTGCCAAGCCTACCCATCCATCTGTCTAATAACATCTAGCCTTTGCTTATTTGGTGGACCTGTAATAAATTATGCTAAACCATTATTATTCTGACAATAATAATTTCCCTGTGTTGCGTGGTTCCATGTGCTAAATGTTTGCTGACTTGCACTGTCAGTGCCGTTTTCCATTGCTGACAGAGATGATGATAAATGACCATTGCTGGAGTGGCAGAAGGCAAGAAAGGCAGAAAATGGAGTCATTTATCATGAGATGACAGGTGTCAGTCAAGTGGCAAGTCTCTATGGAATTAGTTTTTGTAGTTTTCAAATAAGTTGTTTTTAAGCAATGTTCTTCCTGGTTAAAAATGGCAATTGGATTGTAAAACTAGAGTGCAGAGGACTTAGAAGGAATTGAATTGAGGGAAAATTAATACAAAGGTTGAAAGAGGGAACACGTTTTTCTTTGCCCTCTGCAGCCCTAAGCAAACTTATTTAGATTCAATTACTATGACCCTGTTGGCTTTTACATATATACTGTACCTTAGGTGCAGTCTGAAGTCATCTCAGCCAGCAGTAGAGATTAAAATGCATAGGTCCATGGTGTAGAAGGAAAAAAAAGTCGCAGCACTGCCCGAATCCCCAAGCTGTTATTCAGTTTGCCCTATACGTTAGTCATTGGGATCAAGAAACATGTCATTCTTGTTCTTGGACTTAATTTGTGACACAATGTAAAGCTTTCTTTTTGTTTTGTTTTGTTTCAGAAACATATTAAAAGAACACATGGCAAACATCATACTTCGGAGGCAATCGAAAGTTATTACCAGAGGTATGACCTGCCTGCCCCACTAGAGGGTATCATAGCACCTATTAATTATAATAATTATGAATAAATTAATTGTGAAATTAATTTTCTATATCATATCCCGATACATTGTGTTTTGGATCTGTTATTTAAAATTTGTAGTGCATTTTTGTATGAGTTTTCAAAGTCTTTCTTGAGTAGATATTAAGAGCACGGTAATGCTTTATGTGTGTTTGAGTGTGTGCATGTGAATGATACATACTCTGGGATGTAGGTACAATATTATTGAATCTCACTTGTCTACTTGGGACTTTTATAATAAGTATAGGATCTTGCCTAGATGCATATATTCCTGTGTGCATGTTTGTATAGGTAAACAAGAAAGTTTTCAAACCAATTTTCACTTATTTTTTATTTAGATCAGCAAGTAGAAAAAATAAGATTGAGTTTTGATGTAGGTGTGTTTTACATCATAGGTATTGAACTAGCCATTTTAGAAATTAGAAGAAAGACATGTATCAAGTAAGGACATTTGGAGATATATTCTATAACTGTCACATTTTAAAATGGATTGTATATCTTAAAATGAAAAGCTTGAGTATTAAATCAACAACATAGTATCCAGAGAGGATATTTCAATTTCAGCTTTATTAAGACTTTTCAACCTCTTGTTCTGAAATGATCTTTAAAGTAGCTCTAATTTTTTTAATTCTAAAATTTGTCCTGTCATACTAATATGATTGAATAATTTATAACACTAAAAGTAATATTTTGCATTAGAAATGGTTGGATTCTTAAATATTTCAAGGGCATATTGGAAAGGAAAATTGAAATATCTCTTAAATTATTCTCAGGATTGACAGGCCAGCTTTTCTGTGGTGAGAGTGACACCATTGATTTAAATTAATGATTTTTGTGCACAAAAACTTTATGAATGAAATAAATATATGGATATAATACTGGTGTCATGTTTCAGTAATGTCATTTTTTAAGAATTGAGGTGTAGCTATTGAACAAAAAAATTATTGAAGTTAAATTTTTTAAAAATTAGTGTTACATAGTAGAAGATACTTTGTTTTGCTAATTTACTTAATTTACTAAATGTACACATACTATCCCTCTTTACTCACACACAGACACACACACACACACACACACAAACAGACCCTACCCCCTACCCCTGCACCACCCCCACCCTCGCACATATACACACATTTTGGGCCTAGCAGAATTTCTCTCTAAAGAAAACTTTTTAACATTGAAAGAATTTCTTCAAAACTCATGACCACCTTGATGAAGTTAACATTAAAATTTAAGCCATAACCTAAGTCACACACTACAAAATTGAGAATGAATGGCTCATGAAGTCCTGTGAAGACTACAAAGACTGAAAAGTTAGTTTCTGTGTGCCCTCCCAAAATAAATTCTTGTTTGTACTGTATGGTACTAGGCTGTCATGTAAAATCACAGTTCTATAAGCAGATTTAAAGCCTTGTAACAAAAGCATAGGAAAAGGGAACATTTTAGAGGAAAGCATAGTGTTGAAAGTTTGGAGACCCCCCCCCTGACAGGTGATGGGGATTGCCCTCTGTTATTCATTTGCCTCATTATGAAAAAGGTTACTTTTCAATTAGATGACTTCTGAAATCTCTGTGCTGCTACTTTAAATCTTAGTTTTATTAAAGCATATTTAATTATTGAAGTCTGAAAATACTTATGAGGGGTATTATCTGGGTAGTTTAGGTGAGAAATACAAATTTTAAGTATAATCACACAGTAATGGACAGTTGAGTAGGTAAAAATGAGACTATAGAAATACATATTTTTTTACTTTATTTAAATATTCTGAGGAATTGGAGTATTTGAAACAAAAAAAAATGGAGTTAGGCTGTAATAGCCTTAGACGAGAACAGCTTGAGCAGTTTCTCACTGTGCCACCCAGCTCCTCTTCTTTCCCCTGGGCAACAGCCCCATTGTTACCTTTCAGACTTTAAACATGTGGGTCCCTGCTTTCACTAAAGTAAATTGGCCTTAAATAAGGTTTCTGCTTGCTTTCCCCTACCTATAATGAAGGCAAATTGTATAATATCAGGACATGTTTAAGCGGTATAAAAACCTTAATAACAACTTAATTTTTTTCTTTTATAAAAGCAGTATCCCCCATTGTGAAAATTAAACCTCTTTTGTATGTATGTGTGTATGTACATATATATATATATATATATATATATATATATGTACATACACACATATATAAAGAATATGCCCATAGTTGTGCTGCTCTGATAACTAGTGGTAAAATTTCATTCTTGTCAACCCATTTTTATATAAATGAGGTCATATTCTATGTGCAGGTATGATTCCTGAATTTTATATTTGGAAAAATGTATATGACATAATTTTTTTAAAGGCTTTTCTTTTATTGGTTGCCTTACTTCATCATGTGAGAGTATAACAATTTCCTGAATTATTCCTCTTTTGAGTGTGTATGTTTCCAGGGTTCTGTTATTGTAAAATAATACTGTGGTAAACATCTTGACACGTGAGCCTGCACTTTGGAGTTGTTTCTTTATTTCTCTCTGTCTAATTACTAGTGCAAACAGTATGAACATTTAAAAAATATTTGTTACTAAATTACTGTCTGGAGATGTACTAGCTACACTCCTACTGACAGATGAGAGACTTTCTGTGTCTGCATTCTTGCTAGCATTGAGATGATGTTAATTAAGAATTCAGTGTCCGTACTTAATGTGATTGCATTATGGCTAACTGAAACTTCATAGGCTGCAGATAGCAGTAGAAAATGTTTTCTCAGCCTTTTGAATTATTGAGGAAACTTCCTCTGTTCTCCACGTTGTACATTTATAGACAGTTCATGTATTCATTTTGAAAACAATTCTTTCATATAAACGTTATTATTTCCAAACAGGAAACATTTTCAGTAAAATTTATTTCGATTCATCTCCACTGATTCATCTCAATTCAAGCTGTTCTCTACGTGCACACATACATGGTCAGATTTATAACCTTTATCAATAGTGAGCTTTAGGATTGCTGTCTCCCATCTCATCCCTTCTGCCAGTACCCACTAACCTAGGAGCCAACTTCCGTAGCTTTAGAGAATCTGATCAGTCATTCATATGTCCACAAGGAAAAAAGGTTAGTTCAAATACAGTATTGACAGTATGTGATAAAAATGGTTTCTGAAAACCTGTACCACTTTATTGTTCGCTTAGCACCATTTATTGTGGATTCACTGTGTCCCATCTACTATTCTAGCAACTGATCATACAAATATGAATGACAAAGTACCTGCCTTTGACAGTTCTATATTTAGAGGGAACACAGCTGTGTACCTAAAAATGTGAAACAGCAGTAAGAAGTGCTAATGGGTATGTCTGTCCAGCGTACTGTGGAGTCCCATCAGCTGTCCATGTGGGCTGTCGGGAGCCACGTGAATACGTACAGGTTAGAAATGAAAGACGTCTTAGTTTATTAGGAGGAGGAGAGTGTTCTAGACATAGAGAGGACAGTAACAGAGCTCTGAGTTTTTGAGTGTGAGCATAGAGAACAAATAGAGAAGGGCAAGGTGAGCCTGAAAAGGCAGATAGGTGCTGAATCCTTGTTCAAAGGATTATGAATTTCCTGGGAAATAAGTATTACGGACCCAGTGTTAGATTTTAAGGAGGAGTAGTCTAGTTGTATATCCGTGTTGGTAAGGTAGAACTGTAGTATCGTGACACCATGGATGGTCAGGAGGACATGTTTATGTCCCAATTACAACTCAGATTGCTGCTGAGCATCTGTTGTACACTCATGTAGTCCTTCCCCAAGGAGCATCAGTCTAGTTAGGGAGAGACTGGCTTCCTGACTAACCAATCTAAATTTAAATTTTACCATGGCATCTATCATTATGGTATGTGTTTATTTCCCCCCTATTTTGTTAACTGCCCAGCCCCTGGAATATCTCTGGAAACAAGAGTGTTTTGTTCCCTGCTGCTTCTTCAGCTTGGAATAAGCCCTACCCATAGCTTTCAGAAGCTTAAATTAAGCATGGTAGTTCTTATATATGAAACCAAAAGTATAAATAAGAAACAAAATAAAAGGTAGATAATAGGAAGTAGAGAGGTAGATCTTTCTTAAATGAGAAGGAGATCAAGAGACGGGGAGGGGAAGGGGCTGAACTGATGTGTTATGTGCACATACCAACTCCCCACAAAGAATATGATCATTATATACTGCCCTGCAAACATACTTGTACAAAATAACAAGAAAGGAACCCTCCTACAAGAAATATTGTGGAATGCCTGAATGCTAAATAGAAAGTTGTAAAGATACCCTAATGTCAGTTTCAGGTCAAATACCCTGACATAAAGTCAGAATGAGCCCTCTGTGGTTACAAACCCGTGACCAGTTTCTCCTGAACAGGCCTTCAGTATGAGTTGTTTCTGTGAGTTGAGATTCTCAACTGACTTACTTCCCAAGGATCTTTCTCTAAACCACCCTTGCCTTATTTCATATTTTTTTCTTATTGCACCTGAAAGTCCTATTTCCCTGTTAGTTTGCTAAATAATATATTCAGAAAGTCTCAGTATATGTAAAATGGATTTGTTAGAATATGAAGTTATAATGAGCCTGAAGCTCTCCCTACTTTAAATAATTTGATTTTACTTCACCTTGCTTATAGCAAAATTATACATCTTTGTAAGTATACTTATGAAGTAATGTGATTTAGAATCTGCTTTTGATAGTTATATGGATAGCATCATCTATTGATTTTATTTTTTTACTATAAGATAAATACCCATAATTTAGTCATGCAAACAATATACTATAAAGAAAATATCCACTCTTGATTCTGTTTTCTTGGACATTGTGTATTCATTTATTTTAAAAAGTATATACGTATATGCACTGCACAATCATCCACCATAAACCAAGAACAGTGCTACACATAATAAATTGAATAAAATAGAATTCTCGAACCCTTATGGGGCTTTCAGCATTACATTGGGGGATGAGTTTGACACAGACAAGTACAGTAATACTTTCTTTAGCCTAAACCAGCATCATTTTAGCTTGATGATGTTTTAACATGACCTCGCCTTTGAAGGTCAGCAGTAGCCTAATACTATGTCACTGTGCCTGTGTAACTCACCTCACTTCATCTCATTACACGAATATTGTATTATCTCCTGCCATCAGTGGAGGAAGTGTGGGTACAGTCCAATTAGCTACTTTCACAGACCACATTTACATAATTTCATGTTAGTATGTTATTATAATTGTTCCATCATTGTTAATCTCTCACTGCCTCATTTACACATTAAACTTTGTGATATAGATAGATGTATGGGGAAAAAACTGATAGTAAAAACAGGGTTTGGGACTAGCCATGGCTATAGGCATCCACTGTGGGTCTTGAACACATCCTTAGAGGAGAAGGGTGGATTATGGTGTGCTTTGTTGTGTGATGGAAAGGTGCACAGGGTGCTGCTGCATTGCTACGGAGGGTACTTTGAGCGTGTTCTTGGGCAGTGGTGGATTGAAGAAGATGATATCCGACCTGAGTTGTGAGTTACCTGAAGCAAATGGTAAGTTATCTGAGGGCTAAGACGGGGGAGACAGCAACCAGACATGAGCCTGGGAGAGCAGAGTGGTTAGATTATGAAGAGACTTAGCAGATTTAGTGTAGGATGTTGGACGTGTCTAAAGTAGAAAATTGTGCATTCCAATATTTGTTTGAAGAACTTACCCATCTTCTATGTCTGGGATGCATTTGGAGATTTCTGTTTGTCTTTTGCTTTTGTGGCGAGTTAGGTGGTGATGAGAGCTGAGAGTTATTGCAGAAATCCAGGGCAGACAAGATAATGACTTACATTGCCTACCAAAGGTGTGCTGACCCCCAATGACAAGTCGGTTCCATTCTTTTCTTAGGAGGGTGTCATCTAACCTTATGAAGCAGAGCTAAAGAAATAGGTGGGAGATAGGTGCATGGGTGCTATTCACACTATGAGAGCCATTAAATTTCCTTCCCATGTGATGGTTGTCTGTGGTACAGACAAAACCAGAGTCAATATGGATAGTTCTTTATTAACCGCCCCTTTGCTCATGTTAAAGAGTGAATACAAGGGCGACTGATGAGCTCAGACTTCCTGCCCAACCTCCATTAGTTAGTTGGTTTTCGGATAAGTTGTTTTGTTCTGCTTTCCCCTTGGACACTTTCCTATGGCAGTACATACTTTAACAGGAGTTGAGTGTGGCGTTTGCCCAGGAGAAACGTGCACACATGGGGAATACTGACAAGTCTATGCTGGCCTTTTCTTGTCACTGCAGTATCATTTGGCTTTGTCTTGTCTAGGTACCTGAATGGAGTGGTGAAAAATGGATCTGCCCCAGTGCTCCTGGAGCTGGCCAATGAGGTAATGTTCTTGTTATGATTTTGTTGAAACCTGCAAAAAACCGAAGGGAGCTGTCGAAAGAAGCTTTGCTCAGAATTGTAATTAACCTTAAAAATTTACTCTGAGGTGCATTAGACATTTAAATTGCTGCTTAGTCTCTTTGTACTTTTAATAATTGGACCAAGAACTTCATGTATTAATAAATTAGTTGGCTTAATTAGTCTATATTTTTTAAGGCAAATGTATAAATAGTTTCTTAGATTCTTATTTTGTGGAAAATTCAAACGAAACAGATCAGGACATGCTATTCCTGGGATATGTTGTCTTAATTTAGTGTGAGAAATACCTGTGTCTAATAAAGAGACACATGTCAAGAAAATCTATGCTACTGTAAAAATGAAGAGAGAAATCTATACTTAAAAACGTAACATTTACTTGATTCATTTTTTTGTCTGCAAACTTTTGTTATAA